TACATGTTTACCCTTTGTACATATTTCCATTTCAAACCCAGTCTTAAAAGGCTCAAAACCAGAAACTCTTTTATCTACTTTAAATGTTTCTAATAACTGTAAATAAGAGAATAATTGACAACTATGTTCCTCTGCCACCACTTCTCTTGATTTTATCTGGCATTCTCCTTGCAAATTCTAATATTTCACAATAAGTGATTTGTGTTTGCTTATTATTTCTTGCTTATAAAATACTTTTTCTACAGAGGTGATTTGGGCCCAACTTGGGTTTGTGCCTATTCCATATTCTCAATATGGCATGCCTAACATAATGATTTTTAAAATCCATATTAACCTTGACCTTGTTGTACCACAAAGATCCATTCCACCCAAATCTCAGGCCGTGTCCTTCTGATTCCAAGAGCTTTCTATTTCTCTGCCGCACCCGTTCTGTCATCCAAACCAAATAGCAACTTGCATAATACAATTTCAAATCAGGTAGATTCAGTCCTTTTTTTCTTTGTACCATGTAAAACCTTATATTTAACTCATGTTTTTTCTTCTGTCATACAAATTTAGGTATATTCTTCTGCCATTAATTAAATGATGCATCAGTTGTCAAAATAAGTATTGTCCAAAACAAAAACATCATTCTAAGCAAGACTTTCGTTTTTGTCACAGAAATTCTCCCCAGTAGTGACGTTTGTAGTTTCTCCTATCTTAACATGTTTTTTTCTAACTTCATTCCATGTTCTTCTTCTCTGTTTTAACAACCATTTTATTCATTCTGTTTGAGCTTCTGTTCTTGTATTTTTGTTAATATTGTCTTCTGTTTATTAATTTGAAACCTGCTAATGTACCAAATTCTTTTAATTTACCCATTATTATTTAAATTCTGTTCAAAGGATTTTCTACCCCCAAGTTATCTGCAAAAGCCCTTAACTTATAACTTGCTGTTTAAATCTTTACTCCCACAGTCCTCTCATTTTGTCTTATATCTCTGTTCAGTATTTCAAGGACCAAAATAAACAAGAGAGGAGACAGTGGACATCCCTGTCTTATTCCTTTATCTATCTAACAGGATTTTGTTAGGTCTTCGAATAAATCAAAAAGACTTCCTTGAGAAAATTTCCAGTGGTGGGCAATCAAAATGTACTCCACTATTGACGCTTGCTCTGAAACAGAAAAATTTGGGTGAGCCAAATATGGTGTCTGGGGTTAGATTGACAAATGGAGATACCATAACCAAGATATAGAGCCTGATAAATATCATTTTTTTACATTTCAAGCATGGAGTACATCAAAATTTGAATTTACTATCAGGCCAGTCTTGGATAAACATCTTTAGGTTGGAACAGTGAGCAGAAGGTTTAATGCTAAAGGACATGTTTGTATTGTGTATTAATTTTGATGAGAGCATTATACTAATTATTAAATGTAATGAATTAAATGTAATTAACACCTCATTTTTTTCTCAGTAGAGATTAGGTAAATCCTTGAATTTCCTAAACCTTAATGTATTTATTTATAAGATTTATAACCTGCCTTTAATTTTGATCAACTCAAGCCAGCCTAAATACTTAATGCTCCCATCTCCTGTTTTTTCCACAACAACCCTGTGAGGTGGCTTGAGCCGAGGTAGAGCATCTGATCTGAAGCTACCCATCTGGCTTTCATACCTAAAGGAAAACTAGATTTTGCAGCCTCCATTTCCAGCAGATAGCCCTAGATTAACCATTGTGCAAAATAAGTATGTGATTAGGGCACTAAGGGAAGTGGGTGCCACAGTGTTTTTTCCCTTCATTCTTTCATTACCACGCTTGACTTTAGTCTTTTATTCTCTTGGTAATAGTCCTTATTTGCTGGGTTGGACTAGTAGTGGTGGTGGTGGTAGTAGTAGTAGTAGTAGTAATAATAATAATAATAACAATAATAATAACAATAATAAAGTTGGAAGGTACCTTGGAGATCATCTAGTCCAAACCCCTGCTCAGACAGGAAACCCTATACCGTTTCAGACAAATGGCTGTCCAGTCTCTTCTTAAAAACTTACAGTGTTGGAGCATTTACAGCTTCTGGAGGCAGGCTGTTCCGCTGATTAATTGTTCTCACTGTCAGGAAGTTTCTCCTTAGTTCTAGGTTGCTTCTCTCCTTGATTAGTTTCCATCCGTTGCTTTTTGTCCTACCTTCAGGTGCTTTGGAGAATAGCTTGACTCCCTCTTCTTTGTAGCAGCCCCTGAGATATTGGAACAATGCTATCCTGTCCCCCCTAGTCCTTCTCTTTGTTAAACTAGACATACCCAATTCCAGCAATCGTTCCTTATATGTTTTAGCCTCCAATCCCCTAATCATCTTTGTTGCTCTTCTCTGTAATGTTTCTAGAGTCTCAACATCCTTTTTACATCGTGGTGACCAAAACTGGATGCAGTATTACCAAGGCATTGTAAAGTGATATTAACACTTCACATGATTTTGATTCTGTCCCTCTGTTAATGCAGCCCAGCACTGTGTTGGCTTTTTTGGCAACTGCAGCACACTGCTAAATCTGCGTTGTTCAAAAAATAATAACCCTTTTTATATTGTCTATGTTAAGTACATGGCAGCATTTAGTTAACCTTAATTCACCTAAAACCTACATAGCCTCAAATCCAATTAGTAATTAGGTGGTTTATTTTTGTAGGCAATGCATTTTAATTGCATTGACAACCATTTGTCTAAAATGGTATATTGTTTCCTGCCTGAGCAGGGGGTTGGACTAGAAGATCTCCAAGGTCCCTTCCAACTCTATTATTATTACTAATTAATATTTATTAAAAAATATTTTGACTCGGGGGGGAAGAATATGGGGCACACACACACACACACACACACACACACACACACACACACACACGCACACTTCCTGGGTAGGAAATTGATTTCCAGGAAAGGTGCAATTAAAGTTAGTAATCCTAATATGACAGAATGGGGAACCTGGGTATTACATTTCTCTCTCCCTTCCTTCTTTCCTTCCTTTATAGCACAGATGTCAAACTCGCCATGTCACGTCACGTGTCATGATGTGTCACAACTTATTTTGCATTGCTGGAGCTGGGGTAGGCGTGGCCTCCACATGATGCAATCGGCCCACGGGCCGGCAGTTTGACACCCCTGCTTTATAGGATATGTCTTAAATTTGTGGTTGTCTGCCTTTTGAGTATGAATATATAAGACGATAATTGCATCTATCTTCTTCTAGATCAGTGGTTCTCAACCTTTCTAATGCCGCAACCCCATAATACAGTTCCCCATGTTGTGGTAACCCCCAACCACTTATACATCACCGGGTGCCAGGGGCGTGGCCAAAGAAAAGGGGGAAAAAATGGTGGACAGCCTTGTTTGGTGACCCCCGTGAAATGGTCGTTCGACCCCAAATGGGATCCCGACCCACAGGTTGAGAACCACTGTTCTAGATATATGGCTTAAATCGTATTTTGTTCTTTATATTTTTAAAAAAGTTTTATGTAAATATATATTTGCCAGTTTGGGATAATTTCAAGCATCTTGACATCCACATATTTGGCTCAAAATTGTATCATTTTTTATAGCTACAGGTCCCCCAGAATGATTATCTTTAGGTTTGTGCTTATAGCTCCAGTGAGAATTCTGAGTGTAAGAGTTGTAAGTTCACAACAAGTGATCCCAGAAATGTTTTCATTTTATATAAGAATTAAATAAAATGATGGGACAAGGTTTGAGGTTTTGCTAGTTATATTTATTTTATTATTTATTATTACACTTCTATAATGTCCATCTTGCCGAGGCAACTATAGGTATCTTACAGTCATGCAATTAAAATGCCATATTTAAAAAAATTAAATTAAAAAAATTAAAATAAATAAAAACAACAAATGAGAGCCATACATTTAAAATTCAGTTAGTCATGATCAAAAGGAACAAAGCAAAGGGCACATGGAGAGGAGATGAGGTCTGACTAATCCATTAACCACCATCAAGATGCCACTCTCCTATTGAGGCTGCAGATCAGCTGGCAAGGACAGGTCTTCAAAGCCCTTTTGTAAGGCCAGAAGGGAGAGTAATGATCTCACCTGGCCGGGGGGGGGGGAGACATTCCAGAGGGCAGGCACCATGGCAGAAAAGATTCTTCTCCCTATTTCAAAAGATAATCTGGGTGAGATGGGCAGCAACCAAGTCAAATCAATAAAGAACCATAGGACATAGCTGGAATTTCTTAAATGACGGGAGTCCGCAGCATGCCTCTTCTGCCAGCATGGGTGGGACGAGCTCATCCCATTAGAATGAGCTGGTTCCTCAGATAACCTGGACCCATGCCATGAATGGCTTTATAGGTGATAACCTATACTCGTGGTGACGAACCTATGGCACGCGTGTCACAGGTGGCGCGCCGAGCCCTCTCTGTGGGCACCCGTGCTGTCGCCCCAGTTCTCGGCCTTTAGCTGGGTTTTGTAAAACCTTTTAGCTTTAGGCCTCCACAGCCGTGTGCAAAAAAAAAAGGTTCAATCAATCAATTTCAACTTCTCGCAGGAAAAAAAAGATCTCGCAAAGTTGGAAGTGATTGATTGAACTTTTTAGTCCCACCCAGTCTGTCGTTACCACTGCAGCCACGCCCACCCAATGGGCCACACCCACCTAATGGGCCACGCCCACCCGGCACCCGATGAAACATAAGTGGGTTTTGGTTTGCAGTTTGGGCACTCAGTCTCTAAAAGGTTTGCCATCGCTCACCTATACATTATCCGGACACAGAAGCAAACTGGTAACTAATGTAGCTTGTGGAACAGCAGTGTAACATTTCCCCATGTTCTTATAGTGGAGACTGAAGACACATTAAAGACCTTTTAGTGTAATGGATTTCTACGGTTTTTATCTTAATGATTGGAGAATTTAAACTACCTTCAAGAGAAATGCAAGGGTAAATGATTGCTATAGATACTGAATGATGATTTCTGAATTTATTGTCTCCGTTTGGTATTAACTTTCTGTTTCAATTTCAAATAAAGGTCTGGACACCATGAGTGAGACAAGTTCTGTCAGCCTCGAAGCCACAACTGACATCAGTGAGACTTCAGTGGCTACCTCTGTCTTATCTCCTTTTGCATCTGGCCACAGTCGAGATGAGGCAGATAATCGCAGTGAGCATAGCTACAGTGAATCGGGGGCCAGTGGTTCCTCCTTTGAAGAACTGGACATGGAAGGCAATAGTGATGGAATGACAGGTCTGCCATGTGACCTTGGTTCTGCAGAAGACCGAGACACCAGCCAAGTCAAGTGGACCCGGGAGCCTATTGCCCCAGAAGAAAAAAGGGATGAAGAATAAAGTTATCTGTTTATTTACGTTTTAGGGATTGAAAAGAGAAACTGATAATAGTTCTTGATTCTTTTCCGTCCAGCCAAAAAAAATTGGTTACTGATCCATGTTGAGAGCTTGCTACTTTTTGTCTGCAAACAAATATTTGGAGAGTAATAAAGGAGAGGAAATTATATTCAGTAGAATACTGAATATAATCATATTTTATAGCCAGACTTAAAGAGGTGTGCTGCAATAAGAAATTGAAAGTGAGATGGGATGCAGTGATAGTGGTGAGTTCTAGTTGAACCAGTAAATATAAGTTTTTACATAGACTATCCCTGGTTTTAGCATCTTTTTAGTTCTTCCTGCACTCTATCTTGTTTGACCCCCCCAATTGGCTGCTTTTCTGTAATATGCACACTTGATTTGGTGCTACATCTATTAAGACCAAAGAATTGTAGCGCTTATTATCGAAAGAGAATAGTGCAGACTTTCTTACATGATTTTTTAATCATAAATGCAGCACATGAATTCTTATTATAATACAGTAGTGCCCTTGGAAAGGTAATGGATTATATGCAGGTTAATGTAATCCCAGTTAGTCACATGTTTCTGCTCCATTTCCCTCCATTATTGGTGCCATTTCTCTCTCTCTTTGGTTTCCATAATATGAATAAACCAAGTTCTTGGTAGTTACATTTAATATCTTTGGGAACCAAAATCCTTCTCTAGTTTCTTATGTGAAAGTGTTCATCAGAAAGAAAAATCCATCACTATTAGCATTAATGGTGCCCTTTTTCTGCTGTCTCAGGAAGGAGGCGGTTGAGAATGAGAAATTGCAAAATAAGCCAACGATCCAGTAGATGACCCAGTTGCCTGCGTCGCTACTGTGCTTTCAAGACTGTGATGCGGCAGTATCTGAATGTAGGGAAAGATCAGTCTGTTCAGAAGACTCGGGTACTATAGTAACCATAGAGAATTTGAGCCAGCGTGTGAACCACAGCTGAAAGTTATTATATATTATCACTTGGTGAAGTTGAGTTCTTCCAACATGATTCCAAAACACCTCTTACATTAGGATGAAATGACAATGTTTATCTTCTTGCACTGGCAATATTTTTGAATACTTGGTCAGAACAAAGAGATCTCCATAAAGATAGTATTCTGAAGTATTGAACCAAATTTGTTGCTCCTGAATCTCTAGTAGAGCTCTTCTACAGCAGGTTGAAGAAAATATTAATATCTGTGTTTTAGGGATAAAGTATTCAAATAGTTTGCTCCTCTTCAGCACTTCTTGGTTCTCTTGCCTGCATCCTCTTATTAGAGATTGATGGCCCACTCCCTTTCTTAATGGATTTGTGTCCATACAGTGGTAGAGGAGTTCAAAATGTAGCCGCCTTCAGACTTGTCTTGCTCTGAGCATTGACTTAGCCTGGGAGGGTAGTTAATGGAATGCAGTGTTAAAATGATCTTTTTTGAGCTTTGTGGTCCATAAGGCCATTTAGTTCCCTCTCCCCAAGCAATCACATTGATTCCTTCCTCTAAAGTCTCAGTTCCCAGTTTAGCTTTTTATTTCCTGATGCTCCGAATTCATATGCTCCAAATTCTGATTTAATGTAACAAACCAAATCAATACTGTGCATCAGAAGCTTGGAGTGTAACATGGAATTATTTGAATGAAAATCTTCCAACTGTCTCATTTTAGCTTCTTCTGTGCAGGGCTTCTATGCATTCCCATTTCCTCAGACATGCTTGAATGTCTAGTGCCTATATGCCTGTTCATGTCTGTAGTTCTAGCTACAATTTTTGCAATTGCTGTGTTTTTCTGCATATCAAACACTACAGGAGTACAGTGAAATGAGGAGGTGGCATATAGTTATTAGTGTGCTATGTCTATTCCCAGAGTTTATTTGACATGATAACCTACCTTCCTTCCTTCCTTCCTTCCTTCCTTCCTTCCTTCCTTCCTTCCTTCCTTCCTTCCTTCCTTCCTTCCTTCCTTCCTTCCTTCCTTCCTTCTTCCCTTCTTCCCTTCCTTCCTTCCTGAAAGCAATATATCAGCATCAAAGTATTTTACTGGATTATAATATTTCATTTAGGTATGTGCAAACATTGTGTCTCCAGCATCTTATTTTACTCTTCTGGACCGTGTAAATTCTAGAGCTGGTTGAGCAACTTTTTGGTTGTAAATCTTCAGAGTAGGGCTATGCCCAGACCACTTCTTATTCTAGAAAATTTACTTCCAGAAAGATCACTTCCCACTTCTGGAAGTTTTCCTACTTCCAGGAAAACTGCTGGACCACTATTGAAGCTGCCAAATCAGTGTGGTTTGAAGAAAGGGTAGGACATTCCTCCAACCATCCTGTCTTTGGAACAATTTGCATATTCCTAGTTTTGTTGTGAAGTGTATGTGTTTGTCTCACATATTTGTGGATAAACAGTACACATTCTCATATGTGTTTCCATGTGTGAATATGCATACTCATACATGTTTATAATCTGCAAGTGTGAGGGACATGTGTGCATGTGTTTACAGATAATGCCATATAAATTCACCATTCTGCACGTGCCTATAAACATACCTTCTTTTCTTGAGCACAGGTGAATGTGCTATTTATTTGTTAGCAATATTTTATAGACATAGACAAGATCTTCAAGGCAGATACATAACAATAATTAAACCTTGTTTCTGATTATAGAGGCTGTTTTGCACACTTGGAAACTAGCCTGTTGGAAAGAAAAATAACTAGTTATCTGGACAACTTCCATAGCAGAGGAATTTCTAAATTAGAAAACTATTTATCTGATTTTCCAGTTTCTCAGTAACAGGAAATAAGGCTGATCAAAAAAATAGAATAAAAATCTCCAGACAGCAAATCCCTCATGTATTTTCTAAAAAAAAAAAAAAAAAAAAAAAACCTGTGTTAATGAATCAAAATGTTCTCTTTGCTAACCTGAGCCATTTAGAGGGTCAGGTGCAAATGTTTCATGGGACAGTTTTCGTATGCCAAAAGAAAACAGGTTTCTCATATCTTTTTTTTTTTTTTTTGGTAGCACAGATAAATGATTTTTCTCTCTCCCACTCTTCTTTTTTGTAATGTGAAGCTTTGGAAAAGGTTTTGTCTTGCCCTGGAAGTTAACAAGCAATATGAGGACTCACTTTGACTGTGAAACATGAGGGAAAGGTAGAAAGTCACTGGGCGTGTCCTGTGATGGGATGAGGAACTGGGGATGAATTACTGCGGCTCCCAAAGACTTGAGAAATGACCCTCATTCTGAAGAGGCAGAGGCAGTTCCCCATTCATTCAGTGTTTAACAAGACAGACAACACAAGAGTCCTAGCTGCTTTAATACTGTCAGAGAATAATAACACCGAAATCAATCAGATGGGTAAATTTGGCACATTGTTTGCTTGCCATGACTCGAACCAAGAGCAGGAAAAGCCAGCCAATTACTGCTTCTAGCCATAATCACCTTTATTTGGAGTTCGCCGTCTTAAGTTTTGCTTTGACATACTGTTGTGGTTTCTTGAGGTAGACACTGAAACTAACATTTTTCTGGGTTTCTCTCAGCACTCCCTGTTTTGGCCCAGGGGAGGGAGGGGGGAGGAACGCTACATGCAGTGACTGGGTTTGGCTTAGTGATCATTACTTGAATGACTAATGTTTTGTAGACAAAGAATTTCAGGTGAGAGTGTAGAATTATTAAAAAATCTTGGTTACCATCCCTCGAGCCAAACTTTAGAGTGATTATTTTAGTGTTCAAGAAACAAGATCTATCCGGTAATATATTTCAGGCTGCTTCAGGAATTATGTCATATGACTGCGTGTTTCCTAGGCTTGCTTGGGGCATTACTGGAGTTAGTTCGTTGTAGGCATTTGTCTGGCAGACAGCTTTAGGATGTTCTTCTTATTCTGTGCTCCATTTCTCTTTCTCTGTTTAACACTTGCTGTGCTTGTGGAGGTAATGTGACAGTGAGTAATGCATCTAAGCATCTCAAAAACAACCTAATGTTTCATCTCTCTTGCTCTAAGCACAATTAGCTCTTACCGGCAGAAAAAAAAAGACTCAGTAATCTACAACTGGTATAAAATGCAGTACTTCAAAATGAGCATATTTGAACAAAATGATGCTGCTGGATAAAGAAGTCCTGCTATTATTCTAATTTTATTGTTGCCTGTTGAGACATTTCAGAGGTGAAAACATGCAGCTTTTCTCCCCCCCCCTTTTTTTAGCCCAAATATCATCTACTATGACATCTCATTTTCATTATCATCTCTGTGTTCTGAAAGATCAGTAGCATCTGATTAAAAGCCTGCTGATACTTATAGAAGTCTCTCATTAATAAGGTTATGATGATGAGTAAGAATAATCTGGGCATCCAGAAAACTAAACATAAATGAATATGGAACAAGATTTTAGATAATACAAAATGCAGCACATTCTTCCTATGGCTTAGTTAGTGTCCATGTACTCAAAATTATTAGGAGTATTGAAAAGTTTGATTCAAATATAACCACCTTAAAGTTTTGGGGTTACTCCTATTTTCTGCTGTGCTTTACTTTTTTAAAATTCCATTTTTTTTCTGTGCCTCTGTATCCTAGCATGTTTTTGGACCTAGATGTCTAGAGAAAACTGTTTAATTCAACAGAAAAATGCAGAGAGCTCCCGCATATCCCTATCAATCTCACATAGGACTAATTCATGTATATCTAGATAGGGTACAGTTCCATGACAACATATCTGTTGAACCAACTGTTGGCAGGAAGAATGGGTCTGAATTGTTATTTCTCATCCATATATGTTCTTTGTTGAAGCATTATTTCATAGGCACACCAAAATTATACCGTATAGCTGTCCCAGAGTTCTGTATCCACCCATTAAAACATATAAAATACCTATTGCTAAGGGAGGTAATACAACACTCAGTTGGTTGGCTACATTATGTAAATTTCCAAAAGCAAAGCAAATACGGTGATGTGTGCAGAGCGTACTACCACAAATCTGATAATTTGCCTAAACAGAAAGCAGCTGGCAAAAGTGTAGAACTTGCATGTAAACAGGTGAAGAGGAAGAGGTATTGCATCTGGCTCTTAACCCCCAAGGTTTATCCTTCAGGCAGCAACTTGCATTGTAAAGCGATAAGGAATGACAGCTTAAGGCTTGTTACTTATTAAAATACAAGCTGAGCTGTGAGAGAGGTTTGCTTATTAGTTTGGTCCTGAAGTGAAAATTTTTGTTCTGTTATATATTTAATCACTATTTTGGTATAATGTACAAGGCTTAAAATGATCTATGTGCCAGACTGATTAATACCTAGGTGTTGGGTGAACAGGGAGGTGTGGGGGTGGAGGGTAAATCCTTGTTAAAATTAAAAGTGGCTCATAAAAAATAAGCCATTGTCCTCCGTATTTTGTGCGTGCTCCATACCAGCAAAACAGTAACAGCCTCATGAATGAATGAAGTGGAACCTGCCTTACGGCTTGTAAATCCTGAAGTATAAATGATTCTTACAGCTAACACACCCAACCAAAATACTCAGAATGGGGAATTGTAGCTTTCTCATATTTCAAGATTAACATAGAATGGTTTTATTCTGTTACCAAATGATATGAAAAAAACTTTGGGAAGCACATTGCCCAGTGGGTGCGGCAGTACCTTGTTCACTTGCAACTGCTATACTATCATCATGATGACTAGCAGTCATCTAGACCTATGTTTTTGCAACTATGAGATTTGTGGGGCCCAAGAATTCCCTTCCCCAAGACAGGTAACATCTCAAAAGTTTCCAAGGTTGCACAACACTGATCTAGAGCAATAGGCAGAAGCTTAATTTTGAGATTTGAGATTTTTTGAAAGAGCGCAAGTCTGAGGATCTCAGGGAACAATTACATACATTTTAGACTTAAAATAAGTCTCCCTTACATAGATACTTAGGACCGCTGTTTTCTGTTTTTCTGCAGTGGTGAGGTTGATGGGGAGGGGAGGTGTCAGAGGAGCATAGTGGAAGTTTTTTTAAAACTTCATTAAACATTTTATTAATCTATCCTATGGCTTCCACTCCCACTGTTGTGTGCTGAAAATGATGAGAAACTGGCAATAGTTTTCAATAAACAAAATGAAAAAGAGCCTTGGAGCTGTCAAAATGAGGTTTGGGGACTAACGTTGGTTGCCATCCCCCAACATGCTGTATTCATCCATATATCTGCCTTACTTCTGAATGAGACTGCTGATCTAGGACATCTAGTGTTGCCTACTTTGTTAGGAACTCATTTGCCAAAGTCTTAACTTGCTGTGTAAGTTAAGGCATGTAGTTGAAGAACCTAATGGACAATTTTGTGGCATTCCTTCATGAAGAAAATCTGACAGCATGTGGACTAAATGAATGCCTTGCTCCACCTAATTATTTATTGTGGTTCTTGACAATTACATAACCAGAGAAGCATTGAAATTGTAGTCTTAGGCACATTTATTTGGAAGTAAATAGTTTGGGATGCCAAGAGATTTACAAAGATTAAGTGTTATGACCTATTTTGGTGGGAGTTTGGTTTTCATAATTGCAAAGTACTATCTGTAGGGATCAAAGAATGATGGCTCTAAAACTGTGATCTTAGCAAAATGGTGTCATGCTGCAACAGTCCACAACAGTGCTCCCTGCTATTTAATTTTCTTCTTGATTCTCTGGCATTAATGTCTTTTCCAGGCAATATGTCAATTTTTTTAAGGGTTGGGCTGGAAAGTATAAATGCAAGAAATATATGAGCATGTGGTGGTTAAGGTGTAAGGTTGATTCCAGGAAGGCTTAGATTCAGCAGGAAATCTTGCTGAGCAAATTCAGGTCATCCTCTGCCCAGTTTGCCTCCCATATTGTTGTGGCAAAAAATGGGTGGGAAGGGCATACTTGAATGCCTGAAGGAAAAGCAAGATAAACATTTATTTACTTACTTTTTTTGTTTATTGTACATAGTTACCCAGGTAGGCTGCTGGATAGCATACATCAATAAGGAAAATATTTTTTTAAAGAAAAAAAAATTCCCATAGCTGCAATGTATAGATGACTGGGAATCTTCAATTCACACATCTTACCAAGGAGATTCTCTTACCATCCTTGCCCAATGCCAAAGGGAAGAATCAATTTTTTAATACCTTTTTAAAAGCCAATAGGATCAGGGCCAACCAAATTCCTTGCAAAAGAAGAGGAGTGCCTCTTAGGCCCTCCTACAGGTGACATCACTGGAAGGAAGAGGTTTGAAGCATGTCTCTATTACCTTCTGAGCATGGGGGATTTGCAGAAACAATGGGGAGAAAAGCACTCCCACGGATAACCTAGTCCTTGCCCCAGGTAGGGCTTTATAAGTGGTAATCAGCATATCAAATTGCTCCTCAAAACTAATTGGGAGCTGGTGCAACTCACCATGTAGTGGTGTTACATATTTGCACCACTGCATTCTGGACCAATTGCCACTTCCAGGTGGTCTTCAAGGATTGTCAGATTGGTTGACAATTGCCTCTTGATGTTGGCTCCTGAAGTTGGACCGGGAAGGAGATGATTTTGAGGAAACAGCATGACTGGATTAGAGGAGGATGGTGGCTTCTCGCAATTTTGATGCAAGAACATTCAAGAGTCTTCCTAATTCCTAAGGAAGAAGAGAGAAAAAAGCAAGAAAGAAAACACTATTTGCTAAAATACTTTTGAAACTGAATTGAAAGGATCAGTGTATTATTCTTATGCACAAAAATGTATGTGTTTTGGGGAATTGATAAAAATGTATAGCATCATTCCGTGGGAACAATGCAATTCACTATCCATTGTAATTTGAGGTTTGCAAGTGAAGGACAATGAAAGCCACCATGTGATGGTATGGTTAAAACAGCTGTAATACAATTTAATGTGCAGCACTTAATCCAATGTTTCTTTGCAGGTTTAAGAATGATTCTTGTGTTGATGTATATTCAATGTACTGAAGCTTGTAATTAAATCAAAAAAGTTTGCGTTGCTGGCAGAGGTGTTATACTTTACACAGGAGTATAAGGAGGTTTCCAGCAGCAATGCTTGATTGAGCAGATGGCGAAGCAAGGAAGCAACACTTCCTGTAACAGTTTCAGAAGTAGGCTTCATACTGGTACTAGCATTGTAATAGTAATTGTAACTTGTTGCTAACTCTTTAGAAAGGTAAAGAGAAATTGGAGAGAGCAATACACAATGAGATTGTGACATTCTAATTTTAGCTGAGGGATCGTGATATTGTATTTGCCCAAAAGGAAGACTACCGTGAATTTAAAATAATTCTCCCTCATTGCTGAGGAAGAGTGAATAGGCAAAAATATAAAGAAAGACAAAAACTTTAGGAGAAGGTCTCGTTTGGCTTGCCAACCTCTGCTGAAATTAATCCTGGAGATACCCACCTACTCAATAAAAGATGTGGATGTGACATATTTGAATACATGTATACATCATATCCCTGCTAAGAAGAAATGAAAAATGGCGAGGCCAGCACACAGATAAAATATACCTATTGATTTAATAACTACTAAGTAATACTATTTGCCCATTAAATAAAGTACCCAATTTACAAAAATTATCTTCACCATTCACTTTTGATACACACTGTCATGCAAAGAAATACAAATATACAACCACAGAGTCATGGAAATACAGTTCAAGAGTAAGATGTTATACTGGTGACAGTTTAATCCAGCCTCCCTGACCAATGCAAGAATGCACATCCAGCTTCTTTTTAAGTACCTCCAGCGTAGAAGTACCACTTCCCAAGGCAGGCTGTCCTGTTGCTAAATAATTCTTAATCATCAAAAAATTATTCGTATGTTCAGTGCAAATCTGCTTCCTTGAAATTTTGACCCTTCAAATTCCTAAAGGTAATTACACACAGCCTTCTCTTAACTCAAGTTCCCCAATGCCTCTAACCGTTCCTCTTTTATTTTCCAATATTTTTATTGTCATCTTTTGGGATATGCTCTAGTTCAGTGGTGGCGAACCTATGGCACAGGTGTCAGAGGCGGCACTCAGAGCCCTCTCTGGGCACATGTGCCGTTATCCCAGTCCTAGGCCTTCAGCTGGATTTTATAAAACTTTTTCGCTTTAGGTCTCTGCCGCCGTGTGCAAAAAAAAAAAAAAAAGTTTCAATTAGTCAATTTCAACTTCTTGCGGAAAAAAAAAAGGTCTTGCAAATTTGGAATTGATTGATTGAATTTTTTAGTCCCACCCAGTCTGCCATTACCACCGCAGCCACACCCACCCAATGGGCCATGCCCATCCAATGGGCCACACCCAGCTGGCACCCAATAATGCATAAGTGGGTTTTGGGTTGCATTTTGGGCACTCAGTCTCTAAAAGGTTCGCCATCACTGCTCTAGTTTATCCTTCCTCGGATGATATGTCCAGAATTGGACAGGACATTTAAGAAGGGCTTACAAGGCTCTTCCGATCCCATACTATGCTTTGGTTGACGCAGTTTAGGGATGCCTGTACTTTTATTGCAGCTGCATCAATGTTGGCTCAAGACACTGAAAGCTTTTCTTATGAACTGCACTGCATGGCCTCCCTCATTCTAGACCCAGTCCTTTGGTTTTTCTTACCCAAAAGAAAGAATGATTGTGCTGCTGTTCCTTTGCAAATTCAGCCTGTCTAAGAGCTGTTTCTCAGAATGATAAGACATTAGAAGCCATTTCTAAACTAATCAACAGGTGCAGTTTACCCCTTCTTCATAAAAGAGACAAGCCTCATTCCCTTGACGCAGAATATGAGAAAAAGAACCAACTCCATCCCAGCCTAATTCATTTACATAGTGGTTACTTGTTTGAAAAAAAGGTTACTTGTCAGAATTCTTGTGTTGTTATTTTAACCTTAATAATAATTCTTAATGATCAGGACTCTGGGGGCTTTGTTCTTGGTATTATCCACTTCCAGCCTAGGCTGCTGTAATGAGCCCAACTTCCTGAGAGTTTCTGTCCGTATTTTCTAAATATCTTCCTAAATCCTGATGTTGACCTCTAAAGAGTTTGCTGTCCTTATCTATCTTTGTGTCATCTGTAAATTTGTTAGTCATCTTTTCTAAATCCAAATTATTTATAATATAAATAAATAGCTCAAGATCAGAACCCTACAGTACTCTACTTGGTAACTGCTTTCAGTTTGATGTGAAAACATTGATATACATTACACTCGTTTGACATACTTGTTCAGTTAGTTCTGTATAGCAGCAAAATTCCAGCCAACATTTTGCAATCAAGCAGCAGTCTCACCCTTTCCTTTTCCTTCCTCTTACCCATGACACGACTAAAACACCATTAGCATTGCTTTTACTTTTCCTTGCAAGCCTAAGCTCCTTTTGCACTTTAGCTTTTCTGACTTCCATTCTGCAGATTTGGGCTATTTGCTCACTACACCCATCTTCCATTTATATATATACTGTATACTTAGTTCCTTAGTATGTATGAATTCTTAGTTCACTCAAAAGTTCATTTCATGTCCACAATGGTTTTCTAAACTGTTCTGGGTTTGGGTTGATTTTTTTCTTTCTCATTGGGATGTAGGTTTTAAGTATCTTTTTTTTAAAAACATTCCTAAAAGCTTGCCTGATTAGTAAATATGATGGATCAAGAATGTTAGAAATCAATCATTGTGTTAAGGTCTACATATATGGATCTGTCTTTCTGCCTGTCTGCCTGTCTATTTGTCTATCTTACATCAAAAGTTACTTCACTTGACCCTCTTTTGATGACAGTGTGTACATTAACAAGCATATAAAGAGCACTGTAGCAGCTTTTTACCCTCTGAGTGTATATACGGGTCTTGATCTTGGAGAAGAGCATAGGGCGCTGAATCTATTGAAAGACAGGAGATGGAAAATGCTGAATAGATGGCGAAAGCTTTTAAAAAACAGTTTTCTAAACTGAACTTATTGCCAGCAAAGCGATGCCTGAGACACAGGCTGTTTCTACACAGAGGGTGCATCATTCCACTAATTGAAATCCTTAGTGAACACATTCCAGCTTTCCCTCCTCAAGGAGTTTTCTTTTTCTCTTACAAAAGAAATTTTGTGGGGGGGGGCATAGAAAGATATCAAATGTTACATAATCATGCCTGAACCCACCTCATCCCTTCCACCAAATTCCACGAATGATGCAAAATAAAAGCCTTATCCACAAGTATCCTAGGTAGGTAGGTAAGTAGGTAGGTAGAGACAAACACATACATGAATGCTTGGAGCTGATTTGGATTGACTGTGGCCACATCGAAAGGAATGATTATTATCGAAGAAAACATGCAGGCCTTTCCCTCATACTGTAGCAAAAACAAAAGCAACTGGACCAAAGAACTGGTTAAAATGAAAACTAAAGAAAATTGGTTTAAATGGTACAATAAACTCAAAGTACACAAAGAGAATGTGATCTATACTGTGGCACAATACCTGCTTACCAACTAAAATGGTTATCCTGGAATGAGTTGGATATTAACACCATCGATCCAACCCCCTACACACTAAAGTAGAACATGGCTATATTTCAATCTTCCATAGCAAATCCATCTATTTAATAAATGAAAAGAGAGAATGATCAAACCCTTCTAAAGCTGCCCTTTGCTGAATATATCCCTAACTGCCTATCTTTCAGCCAGCAAGAATTGTTTCTGCTAGTTCCTGTCCCCGTTAATTCTGCCACCCTTTGTAGTCTTTCTTGCTCTTCTTATACCTTCGTGCTTGGCTTCAAATGTCATCCTTTCATGTCACTGCCTCTCTTACTGCTTATGCTCCTAAGATCTTTTACTGGCTTAAACCTTTGTGTAACTTTCCCTCAATACCTTTTTTTGCTCTGTTTAACTCTTCAGAAGATCCAAAAAGAAGACCCATAATTTTTCCTTCATTTTATGAAGAAAATAGTAAACTTTTATGAGAATTAAAAATCCAGAGACATCAATGCCCTTATGATGTAATTCAAGCCAAGCTGGGCAGCATCTCTGTTGACTTCAGAGGCAAAACTTTTAGAGGGATAGCAGCAGGAAAAAGGTTCCAGTCCACATTATCTCTATGCAAAATCTGCAAAGTTCATTGTGGGACACTACAGTATAGTCAAACACATGGATAACCTGGGTGCATCAGATATCATGTAAGAGATATCTTCATTACCTAGAGTCAGATGGCTTATCACTGAGAGAAGCAACATGGAATTTAGGAGAAACTTCCTAACAGTGAGGACAATTACTCAGTGGAACAGCTTGCCTTCAGAAATTGTGGGGTCTCCATCATTGGAGGTTTTAAAGAAGAGACTAGACCAGGGGTAGGCAACCTTGGCTCTTTTATGACTCGTGGACTTCAACTCCCAAAATTCCTGAGTCAGCCATGCTGGCTCAAGAATTCTGGGAGTTGTCCACGAGTCATAAAAGAGCCAAGGTTGCCTACCTCTGGACTAGACAGTCACTTGTCTGAAATGTATAGGTTCTCTTGCTTGAGCAGGGGGCTAGACTAGAAGACCTCCAAGGTCCCTTTCTATTCTATTCTATTCTATTCTATTCTATTCTATTCTATTCTATTCTATTCTATTCAACAGGAGGGAGATAATTCCAGTCTACTTGTAAACAGGCCTTTGAAGTTCAACCCCAGAACATGTATTCTTAAGCATGTTATATTCAATAGAGCAACCATCAATCAAGGAAATTTGAGCCAGCTGTTCTAATGAGCTGACTAGTCCACTGGTAATTTAAAGCACCCATTTCAACCTTTTCAAGCTCTCAATCTTCCCCAAATTGGATACTTGTCCTTCAGTTTTGGTCCACGATCTGCATGGCACAGCACGCAAAACTACAGTAAGGTAGTTCTTAAGATGACAGAAGGAACACAATCCTGCATAATATCTTACAAGCAGTTCTTCCCAATTCTCCATTTTAGCTCCTCCTATTTCTCTTAGCAGGGGTGTCAAACTGGGCCGGTTGCATCATATGGAGGCTGCGCCCATCCCAGCTCCGGCAATGCAAA